ATATTTTTCGCAAATGAGTGATGAGTTTCCACACAAAAGTCTCACCAGGGTTATACATGGTCTAATTAGGTATGGGTCATTTTTTGCCAATATCCACCACTTAATGGGTTTGATAACCTTAACAACATTTCTGAACGTACTGAGAGACCTGTACATCATACAACTAGACCTCCATTTTTCCAACTCATGTCTGTGCAACACATCCTTAACAATACTTTTCCACTGTGATTTCGAGACAGATACTCCATAGAAAAGCCATTGCATTACATGATCTATTAAGTTGAACCTTTCAGCTATGTTAAGAATATCCCAGATAGGAGAATGACAATTGTTCTTTTTGTGGGTAAGTGTGCTGTTCAACCATTGACACACTCTTATGATGGCAATTTTCTTATAGACAACATCCACTGGTAACATGAGTAACTGCCATAAAAACATGAGCTTTCTTTGTAAGATTATAGTTGTAATATTATTCCACCCTAATGGTGCTAAACATGCACTGTTTGCCGTATTAATAGGAAGACCCTGCAGTTGTTTCGCTATTTTAATATGTGTGTTTTCATAGATATTCATTTCTTTTTCAGTCAGAACAATCGCTTCTACTCCATATGTCACTGATGGCACTACAATACTCCAATATATGTTTGATGCAGTAAGGGGATTATACCTTACAGTGTCCATGGATACTAGTCCAATCCCTGCATTCATTGTCATGCGTCCAGTCCTACATTTTTCATTGACATATGGTGTATTATCTCCAGTTGATGACAAGTCGACTCCAACATGTTTACACACATTGGTTATTTCCAATACAGTCCCTGATAGTGTTAGTTCCTTAGGCTTTTGTGTTTCATGAGTATTCGTGGGTGGGAAGTAAAGAACTTGTGTTTTATTTGGGTGGTACCTATATCTCCATTTTTTACTATGGTTAAATATAATATTCAGCAATTTTTGCATGTTATTAGCATCTATAGCTACCAGGGTCATGTCATCAGCATATGCTGGGCATGTAAGCTTCAAGTCCCCAATTCCAGCTCCTAGTCCAGAAGCAGCTAGATCCTCCAATAGGCCAGATGTGAATCGCATATAGAGGTACATCGACAGGACCCCGCCCTGATGGACTCCCTGTAATACATTAAATGGTTGTGATAATTTATCTCCTATTCTGATGACACATCTGTAATTATTATACCATATATTGATAATTCTCCACATTTTTCCATGTATACCCTGCTTGTAAAGAATATACATGAGACCCTGTATCCAGACAGAATCGAATGCTTTCCTCACGTCCACTGCTGTAACGTAACACTTCCCCCCTCTTTCAAGATTGTAGGCAATTGTCTCTCGGAGAGTGACAGATGTTTGTAAACACGAACAGTGTAGTTTATTACCACCTTGAAGTTCATGTATATCCTTTACTCGCTTGTTTTGCATAGAGCGCATAAGTAATAATCTTTCAAACAACTTACTAAACTGTATCATCAATGTTATGCCCCTATGATCATCTTTATTAAGTGGGTCCTTCTGGCCCCCTTTAAAAAGTGGGATTAAGATTCCAATTTTAAAATATTCTGGAACATATTCTTGATATATGATACAATTCATCAAGATTGTAAGGATTTCTAATACACAAGGGCCACCATATTTTATATGTTCCGAAGTGATATTATCATGTCCTGGGGCTCTTTTAGGTTTCATTAGATGTACCGCCTGCTCTAATTCTGTATTTGTGAAAGGGTCCTCCATATTGTCATCTCCATTGCTTTTTGAAGACTCCATCATGTTAATCAGTTCATTTTCAATTTGTTGCTTGTGTACATCATCATACAGAATGTCATTTTTTGGGGTAACCAATTCAGAAAAATATGTTCTCCATTCATCCAGAATCTCTCTATCTTCATTAAGTATCTGTCCATTGTCATTTCTTATTGGGTTGGTCTTCACTGGTGTTTTTCTGCGTCTTTTCACTAGGTACCAGAATGTTTTCAAGTCTATATTATCATCATCTATCTGCTTTTGACATTCACGCTCATATTTATACCGTTCTCTCCTTAACAGCCTTCTGAATTGTTGCTTGGCTTCTCTGTACTGTTTGTATGTCTGGTTTTGTTGATCCATGGGTTTCCCTTCTTTAAGCCATTGTTTATATTTAAAACGTTTTGCATTAAGAAACTGTTTTAGTTCAGGTGACCAGAACGGCTTTAAATGTTTGTTATACCTCTGTTTTGGTATGGTGGCCTCTGCCCCAGATAGCAAAATATTACCTAAACTTCTGAAATAGTATTCTATATCTTCGTTTCTTAATGTACCATGTTCAACCTTCATGTTCAATTTTTCAATTAAGGGAGTTATCTCTGTTGTCATTTTCTGTGTATATGTGCCATTTATATCTTCATTTGTCATTTTTGACCATGCAATGCAAGGCTTTGGAGTAATTAGATTAGCATGGAGGTCCGCCATATCAATGTCAATGTTAATGTACAAAGGCAGATGGTCTGACAAATTTTCTAAACATTCATCAATAATTCTACATTCTTTGACATTCTGAAGAATAGAATTCGACACGAGACAATGATCTATATACGATCTACCAATGCCTTCTTTGACAAAAGTATATCTTGGACCTTAAGATCAAAGTAAGATCAAACAGAGGGTTCCTATGTTAGTTCAACCTGCAGTGCTTGTACATTATTCTACACTGTACTTTCTTTATTTCAGATCCTTTCTTAAAGGTTATAGAGAAAGCCCAGTCTAAGCAAGCTGATCATTTTTTCCCATTCATGTGTTTAAGAGTTTTCCTTTCTTCATCTTCCAACTCAGTATTAAATATTTGACTTTGATATCACAGTGCTCTTGACAGATTATTCTGCTGTCTTAATGATATCTGAGAATTCATCCAATGGAATTTCATACAGCTTTTGAGTTGTTCTCGCTCAGAGGCCAGGAATTTCAGTCATCTGATATTTTTCTAGATGCTTTACAATTGCCTATTCTTCATTTATCAATTAAAATATTAAGGGTCACCCTGTATTTTTTTGTGAAGCTACTCACTAAAATTATGATTTCTCTCTACCATGATGTTCAATCAAATGCATTCAAGTACCTATGAGTTCCAGACATGTTTAGGCATCTGGGAATGACAACGTCTACCCAAAGTTTGCATGCCATATTGATGTAATTTATGACTGAAATCGGGAAGACAAATGGTGTGATATTCTTTTTAGAATTGCTTATAATAACTCTTTACGAAAAAATTCCTGAGACACAAAATCTATTTAGGGTAAGGGTTAGTTTTAAAGTCAGAAAGCCCGAATGAGACAATACAAACCCAGAGAAAACCTAGAGGACTGCATATTTCATAATACAATGTTTTACGTTCATGTAAACAAGTACATCTAATCCCCATATAAAACACTGGCCTACGTGACATGTACTAACATCTTCAAACGGTAATATGGAAATTGCTTCTGTATTCTGTTCTGTATACTCTTTACCTGCTTAATGAGACAGTTGTATCTTCAAATCTTCAAACCTTAGCCAAGTAGATTAGAATCTCTGGACACTTTTGTAAATAGTTTTTACAAGCAATTATGTTTGTGTATCTCAAATTTTGTCTTCCCAATTTCAGTCATAAATTACGTCAATATAGCGTGCAAACTTTAGGTAAATGTTGTCATTTCCAGATGCCCAAACGTGTCAAGAACACATAGGCACTTGAATGATCTTGATTTAACAGCATGGTGCAGAGAAATTGTAATTTTACTGAGTGGCTTCACGAAAAAACAATCTTTCTTATAAGCCACCTTAAGAAGGAGTTTTCAAGATGGCACATGGATTTCAAAATGGCTGCCATTTATTTTTGTTAAAAAATGTAATATTTGATAACGCAAATACCAGTTGAAGGATTTTGTTCAAATTTCATATTCTGATGACAGCTAGATTCAAAATGGTGCCATTTTTCTTAAAGAAACAAATAAATCAAATACCCATGGATGGATTTGATTTAGATTCTATATGCTGCACTGATGCTTTGAGATAAGGGAGCAGATGCTCCAGAAGAAATGTTCAAAATGGCCACTATTTATCAAAATTGCTGTCATTTATCAGTAACAATGTAATCTTTAATAACCCAAATACTAGTTGACAATTTGGTTCAAATTTTATATTATTTTATATCATGATCACTTAGGGACAGAGGAGCTTAGACTGCTCAAGAGGAAAAATGGCCGCCATTTTTCAGGAAAACATAATATTTGATAACTCAAATACCAGTACAGATTTGGGTCAATACTCAAATGCTGATACCCATGGACAAAGGAGTTTCAAGATAACCACTATTTATCAAAATATATTTTGTTCGGGGGGATTTACTACTCCTTGGAGTTACTGTTTTTCTAGTTGTGGGATTTGCTACTCCTTGGAGTTGCTGTTTTTCTAGTTGTGGGATTTGCTACTCATTGGAGTTGCTGTTTTTCTAGTTGTGGGATTTGCTACTCCTTGGAGTTGCTGTTTTTCTAGTTGTGGGATTTGCTACTCCTTGGAGGTGCTGTTTTTCTAGTTGAAAAAAGGACAACACATTCATATTTTGGTTGTGGCCTAAAGGTCCTAAACAAGACGGCATATTTATTTCAGTGTTTAAGAAATATCTATCCTACACAAATGTTATTGTTCCAGATATACAATTAAATTGAATTCTTTAAATACTTAAAGGTGCTTCTATACTTGCTATGTACCCACCCTCATCATGCCTTGAATCAGCTGTCATCAAGGGCGGCACAAATTATTTAAAACATTACTATACACTGTCTATTTTGATGCAATGGAGTTATTTTTCCAATTTTTTTTTATTTTTCAGAAAAGTCCAGCTCTAGAAAATCTTTGATCTGAAACTTCTCAAACTGTTTGTTCAATTTGTACTCATACATTGGGTCCACTTTAAGGCATAGTTTGGAATCTATGTTAACAGGGACCATTATTCCTGACCAGGATATAAAGTCCCCACTTCCTGTAGTTGTGTTTGATCCTTGGATAAACACTGCCTCGTTAGCAATGGAGCCTGAAAATGTAATGTTACAATTACAGTGAGGTGAAGTGACATACACTTTAGATATTCATTAAAATCTATTCCTACATAAAGGACACTTATATTTTAAATGAGCCAAAATAGACTGAGTTTAAAAATAGCATCCACCTCATAAAGTGTTTAGTTTATAGAGAGTTTATATTCTGTGTAGTATTATTACTGCAGTACTGGTAGTCTATTTTTTTCTCATTGTATTTTGAAATATACAGATCATATGTGTATAGGGCTTCCAAATTAACCATTAAATAAGATCCTATTATTGTCACAAGGCTCTTCTACATGGCTTCTAGTTAAAGGTACTTTGAAATGAATGTCTGCAGGCCTTTAGAAATAAGTAACATTTCTTTTTGTTAAGTCCCTCTTTCAATTGAATCCCAGGAGTTCTCATAATTTAATACCCAATTTATCACACGCGTTTGAATTTATTTATTAATCATAATCATTTGTTTCGTACTTACCCAGAATCCCCCCTGCTTTCTTCGACAAACCATTGACTTCACTGATTCCAAAATTTAGGAAACTTGTATTGCGGGACAGGCCTTTACGAATCACATTAACTGTGGTGTCTCCTTCCCTCAGATAAACTTTCGCTTGCTTTCTTGATACAGATATCCACCCAACATCATTCGAAATCTCTTGTATGGCCCATCGGATAATCGTGGTAGCATTTCCAGATTTCTTAATTTTGATGTTTTGTGGTGTTAGTTGTATGACAACATCACCAACTGTGATTGTGAGGTCATTTACATATTCAACCAACTCTGTTTTACTTGGATTTCCATCCCCTTCACTGAGCTTAGCTACAATTTCTGAAATAAGATATAATTTGTTGTCCCATTTACTGATCTTAGCCATAATTTCTGAAACAAGGATATAATTTGTCATCCTATTTACTCAGCTTTGCCAAAAAATTTTAAACAGAAATGTTGTTTGTTGTCCCATTTACTGAGCCACAATTTCTGGAATAAGATTAATTTTTTTGTCCCATTTACTGAGTTTAGCCACAATTTCTGAAACAAGATATAGTTTGTTGTCCCATTTCTTATACTCTTTATTTCCACCAAGATAATATGAAAAAGGGAATCAGTTTCAACCCTATTCCCCTTAGTGAAACCCTTTTTACAAATATCAATAATTGTTCTCTTAGTATATAGTACCCTTGATTAAGAGAAAATTTGTTTAGAGAGTCTAAATCTCTAAATTTGCTTCTAGGGATACCAGCCATAGTTTTCTCCTGATGACCATTGTGAATTGTTGTGTTTTATGGATTATGATGACGGCTTTGCGAACGGATGTTGACCCTTTGAATTGCCTATATACTTCGAGACTGGATTTTATCTATCCCACAACATTTGAGACTGAATACTTTATCTTTTATGAGTACTAGTATCTACAATTATTTTTGATGTTATGAGTATTGGCTATCAATTTTTCAATTTTTCTTCAATATGTATTGTAATGACTTCAGTATGAATGAAATGTCCCTTGGTGTTCTGGTCCTGGATTGTGATATTGGTTCTCGATTGGAGGGGGAGGGGGATGTTAGACATTGTTTCTTTTCACGTTAGATTATGGTTTTGGGATATATAGGGTCTATATTTCTTATGACAGATTTACACTTACAGTTTGCTTTTCTTGTTGGGTTTCTTTAAAGTTTTTAGTCACCCTTCCCTTTGGCATTTGTGCTTATATATTGGTACATAATATCTTTAAACAATTAAGTCAAATTGGTTGTTGCCTCAAGCAATTTTTTACTAAAAATACTCACTTATTCCAAAATCATCCAGAAACAAATAAGATTTCCCTTGTTCACCAAGAAAGTCATAGCAAAGGTTCTTGTCAGATCCTGTTATAGATTGGGTTATGTGAGGATCTCCACATATTTTCATGCCTGACCGGTTTGTTCTGCAGTTTGGTTTGTCTGAAAAGAAGGATTTTATCATATTTTGTCTGTTAAAATGTGTGAAAGTTCTTGCTTATAAAGCAAAATATCAATATCAATTAAAGCAAAATTGCCAATTATACAATTGATTATATACAATACAGAGAAGTTCCTTCCATCTGTCTTTCAACAACATCCAGACAAAACTCCTAGTTTTGCTTCTTTTTCGGAAAAACTTTTTCACCATATGATCCCGTCATATTTTGGCATT